TATGTCAACAATAAACCCCATACAGCATGCTTGATCACTTTGAAACCATGATTTGAAACAAGTCAAACTTAACACCGTGACACTTTTGTACATTACAGAAAAATCATGAAAGAAAATGAAAATAAGCACAACAGTTTTATTTTTAGCTTGCAGGAATTCACTGCCAAGTGAGATGATATAAACACAACTGAAAGTATAGCCATATGGTTGGCAGTCAGTCTCAGTCTGGATTTAGATTGTTTCTGTTTTCTACCAAACTGGAAATGTCTGAGGAGCTCTACAATCTTAAAAAAAAAAAAACAACCACTAATGTTGGTTGAATTTTTTACTACCTACAAAACCTATTTGCATATGATAAGTTGATTTGTTTCTACAAAAATCCCTAGGTTAATTTGCTAAAACAAAACCTTACTTTTCCCTTTATAAACTACTTACTCAGCAACAAATGCTTTCTGTAATTTCCTGGTACTGCTTGCAAAATAGCTTCTGGGGTGTTAGGTGAAATTTTTACTCTGACCGTATTTAAAACTTGTTCACATCCTTGGACAATGCTTTAAAATCTGTTTTACTTTTGAGTAGCTCTAATTGGGGATTAATGTGCTTTATAAGATGATATGATGTCTATTTCCAAAAGCTTTTGATCCCTGCTGTTGGGTTGGAGGGAAGGGCAAGAAGGGGTGGGGGGCAAAATATCGTGGAAGAAGGGAACCCAAAAAAGTATACATACATTTTAAGATGCTAAAACTTGTCAAAATTTACAGTACATATATCTACATATTCTCTCTTCCTTGAAAGGGGAATGATGACTTAAGGTTGCTAAACTGCATCGCTCATTAGCACAAAGCATATAAAGTATGGCAAAAGCAGTTAAGTCATTCAATATCCCATCTGCACTCCATGCATCAGTTCTTCATCTTAAGCTAAACTATGTCACTTTGATCACACATCACCCTCTTCACTCTGAACAACTTTTGAACATTAACCATGTTTATTGGTTTTTTGTTCATGAGTTTGTTGAGTAATATAGGGTTGGTTTGGCTTTCATGTACAGGCAGTCCCCGGGTTACGTACAAGATAGGGACTGTAGGTTTGCTCTTAAGCTGAATTTGTATGTAAGTCGGAACTGGTACATATTGTAGGGGAAACTCTAGCCAAACATTTCTCCAGAGCTCAGTTTTATTCTCCCACACCTCACTTCCCTCAGTCCTTTATTCTCAAGCTGAGGTGTCTGCTGAGAAAAGCTGCTCCGCGTCTCCCTGGTCTGCTGGGGAGGGGTGCTAGCTTCGCATCTCCCTGGTCTGCTGGGAGGAAGCAGCTAGTGCGGGGTTGCCTCACCCTGTTTGTAAGTAGGGACCCGATGTAAGTCGGATCCATGTAACCCGGGGACTGCCTGTATTACACTATACATGGTTCTTTTTTATTAATAATAATAACAACAGAAATATAATTTATTATTTATTAGATTTGTGCTTTGCTTGCACCTAGAAGCCCCAGTCAGAGAGCAGAACCCTAATACACTAGATGCTTGGCAGGGAAATGTGGTTACTAGTGATTTTAGTAGGTAGCTGGCCAAGTGCTTAGAGCAAGCATCTGTAGCCAGAAATGAGAGTCCAGAGTCTGAGTTGGCCTCAGGTACCAGGTATCATAGCCAAGGGTGAGAGCCAAAGTCAGGAATCACAGCCAAGAGTCAGAGTCCAGGTTGCCTGGATGAGGCAAAGCAGGGTCAAATTTGAGTCAAAGGAAGGAGTAGGGCTGAAGCTGCAGATCCTTATTCCTAACAATACCCCCCTGTCCCTCCAGCATCCCTAGGCTTGGCTTCTAAGAGTAGTTTCTGTAAAAAGCTCACAGCAGACCCCTGCGAAATCCCACTTGTTATGCCTTTCCAGCAGGATTGTGAATCATTAATAACTACTCTCTGAGTATGGTTATCCAGCCAGTTATGCACCCACCTTATAGTAGCCCCATCTAAGTTAGATTTCTCTGTTTATTGATAAGAAATGCATTACTAAAGTCTAAGTATACCACATCCACCGCTTCTCCCTTATCCACAAGACTTGTTATCCTATCAAAGAAAGCTATCAGATTGGTTTGACATGATTTGTACTTTACAAATCCACGCTGGCTGTTACCTATCACTTTATTATCTTCCAGCTGTTTGCAGATGAATTCCTTAATCACTTGCTCCATTATCTTTACTGGCACAGAAGTTAAACTGACTGCTCTGTAGTTCCCCGAATGATTCTTACTTCCCTTTATAGATGGGCACTAGATTTGCCCTTTTCCAGTTTTCTGGAATCTCTCCCAAAGTCCATGATTTTTCAAAGATTATAGCTAAAGGCTCAGACACTTCCTGTATCAGCTCCTTGAGAATTCTAGGATGCATTTCATCAGGCCCTGGTGACTTGCAGGCATCTAACTTTAAGTGATTTTTAACTTGTTTTTTTATTTTATCTTCTCAACCTACCCCCTTCCCACTAGCATTTACTATGTTAGGCATTACTTTGTCAGACTTCTTAGCGAAGACCGAAACAAAGAAGTCATTAAGCATCTCTACCATTTCCAAGTTTCCCGTTATTATTTCTTCCTCCACACTGAGCAATGGGCAAACCCTGTCCTTGGTCTTCCTCTTGCTTCTAATATATTTAGAGAAAGTCTTCTTGTTACCCTTTATGTCTGTCGCTAGTTTGACCTCATTTTGTTCCTTTGCCTTTCTAATCTTGCCCCTATATACTCACTTTATTTGCTTATATTCATTCTTTGTAATTTGTCCTAGTTTCCACTTTTTATGAGACTCCTTTTTTATTTTTAGATCATGCAAGACCTCCTGGTTAAGCCAAAGTGGTCTCTTGCCAAACCTTCTATCCTTCCTACACAGTGGAATAGTTTGCTTTTGGACCCTTAATAATGTCATTTAGAAAAACTGTCAACTGTCTTCAGTTGTTTTTCCCTTCGGTCTTGTTTCCCATGGGACCTTACCTACCAGCTCTCTCAGCTTATCAAAATCTGCCTTCTTGAAATCCATTGTCTCTGTTTTGCTGTTTTCCCTTCTACCATTCCTTAGAATCATGAATTCTATGATTTCATGATCACTTTCACCCAAGCTGCCTTCTATTTTAAAATTCTCAAGCAGTTTCTCATTTGTTAAAATTAAATCTGCCCCAGTAGCTTTTGCAACCTTCTGAAATAAAAAATTGTCTTCAGTGCAGTCCAAGAACTATTGGATAGTCTGTGCCCTGCTGTGTTTCCCCAACATACGTCTGGATAGTTGGAAGTTCCCCATCACCACCAAATCCTGCACTTTGGATGAATTTGTTAGCTGTTTAAAAAAAGCCTCATCCACCTCTTCTACCTGGGTAGGTGGTCTGTAGTAGCATGACATTTCTGACACATCTCCTAGGTCTCAATGTTCATCACTTACCTGTGGCCTTTGGTCACCTTTCCCCATTAAATCTAGTATAAAGCCCTCCTCACTAGATTAGCCAGTCCGCATCCAAATACAGTCTTCCCCTTCCTCAAAAGGTGAAACCCATCACTGCTTAGCAGTCCCTATTAGTCAAGTCCCTGTGGTCAAGGAAGCCAAAACTCTCCTGGTGACCCCATCTTGGAAGACAGGCATTCACCTCCAGGATGCACCTGTCTGTGCCTGAGCCCCTAGTTTGACGGGAAGGACTGAAGAGAATACCACCTGCGCTCCAGACTCCTTCATCTGTACTCCTAGAGCCCTCTAGTCACTCTTGATCCACTCAGTGTCACACCTTGAAGTATCATTAGTGTCCACATGGATGAGTAGCATAGGGTAGTAGTCAGAGGTCCAGATAATCCTCGACAATGCTTCCGTAACATCTTGAATACAGGCCTGTAACAGGGTACACTCACCGCCACAGTGACACCAGCCGTCGGTCCTGTGAATTAGCTCGGACAGTAGGTGGTGCCCACAACAGCCTCTAAGCTCCCTCCCCTTCTGGGGGCTTGTTTGTTGGCCGGTAGGCCTTCGGGAGGGTTCCTCCGTCTCCGGCGCAGCAGGCAGCCAGTCCGCCCCACTACACTATCGTGACTTAAAATAGTCCAAGTCAGTGAGTCTATAGCTAGCCTTGCTTCAGGTCAGGGTGAGAAGTAATAGTTCACGTGCCCGGCCTTGCTTCAGGTCCGGGCCACGGGGGAAGAAGTCTAATGTAGACTTCTGGGCAGGGCAACAGCCCTAGTCCTGCACCTTTAAAAGGTCCGGCCCGGATCCCGGCTGGGTTCCAAAGCACAGTATGTAAGCCTGGGCCCTTGAGCAGGGTGGAGCACCAAACACATGTTTACACAAGCCCAGGCCTCGAGCAGGGCGGGGTGACAAAACACAGTAAGCTGAGCCCGGGCCCTGGTGCAGGGCGGGGCAAACACAGTAGCTGAGCCTGGGCCCTGGTGCAGGGAGGGGGAACTAGTCATAATGGCAGCCTGGCCCTAGCTCCAGGCAGGGTAGCACTGGCAGCCAGGTCCTGGTGCAAGGCGTGGCCACTGACAAACTCCAGCAGTCAAAATGGCGGCCAGGCCCTAGTACAAGGCGTGGCTGTAAACAGACACAGTGAATAGGGCCCAGCCCTCAGGCAGGGAGGGGACACCTAATGCAACAAGCAGACTCTGGCCCTGGGGCAGGGCAGGGCATCAAGTACACTAAGCAAGCCTCGGCCCTGGAGCAGGGTGGGGCAGCAAAACACAGTCTATAGACCCTGGCCCTGGAGCAGGGCGGGGCGACAAACACTCTGGTTTGAGGAAGCTCCTTGTTCAGGAGCTGGGCAGGTAGTGCACCTGCAGCAGTGGCAAGGGGGAGAATGCCACCTGGTTGGTGGGTGGCAGGGGGGTGCAGGCCTACCCATTCCACTGTGCCCCAGCCCAGGATGCAGCAGTGTAGCTGCTACTGGCTCAGCAGGGGCTCCAGCCCGCAACGTGCTGGCCATGGGCTGCTCTCAGCCAGTGCTACCCCTTGGGCCAGTGTTCATCTCCCCCCTCGCAAGTACCTGTGTCTCCGGCAGGTCAGTCAGGGAGTCGAGGGCGGTGTCGTCCCAGCAGGGTCCAGGCGGCCCAATTCAGGCTTCGGTGGGTTGGAACCTTGCAGCGTCCAGCGGGTTCACCAGGCCCCAGGGTTCAGGCAGGCATCGGGGTTCCAGCCGGTCCACCGGTTCTGGCAAGCCCTCAGGGTCCCTGGGTGTCCACAGGCCTCAGGGCTTGAGCAGGACTTTGTGCTCAGGCCAGTCCTCTGCATCCCCAGGTACCAGCAGAGCCCCGGGTTCCTCTGAATCAGAGGGTAGCTCTGCTGGCCAACTTGGACAGGCCTTAGCGGCCCTGACAGGGAAGTCTTTGCTGGCCTTAGGGGAGGCAGCGGTGGGAGGCCTAGGACAGGTCTTAGCCTCCCCAGCCAGGAGCTCTGGACAGGCCTCTGTGTCCCTCAGAGGCTGGACCCAGACTGAGCTCCCTGGCACAGTTCTTATAGTCCTAGCCACATTCCTTACCTTCCAGTCAGGTGATGGGGCAGGGCTAGGCTGCGCCCAAAATGGCTTCCGGAGGGGTATTTTCTCCCTTATGGTAGTGGGGGGCATGTCTAACCCACTACAAGGCCCCTGGCAGGCAGCATGCCTCCTGAGATGACATGTCAGGGCAACCTGATGGGAGCCTTCGTCCCCCTTAGAAAAGAGTCTCTGACCACCACTTCTCTATTTCCTTCTCTCAGTGGTGGCAGCAGACTTCCCAGACTTGGGGGTAAAAGGCTTCTCCTCTTCCGCTTTGGGGTTGATTCCTTATTTCCTGTATCAAGAACAGAGTAACAGTTCTCCAGTACCAAGGTGGGAGGGTTGGGAGTAGGGGTAGAGCACTGCCTGCTGCCAGAAATGACCAGCTGTCAGTATGCCCCGAGTCATCTCCTCCTCCACCAGTGATGTGTCAGTGGCCTTTTGTAGTGGGACAGCTACATTAACCTCAGCTGTCTGCACATGAATACAGTCTGGGAATTGCTCATGGATTCAGATGCTCCTCAGCCTAGCCACCTCCTCCTATAGCTCTCTCACCTGCTTCCTGAGAGATTCCCCAGCAGGCATCTTTCACATTCGATGGTTCCCCCAGCCTGGATTTCAGAAAGTGGGAATTGAAAGCTACTGTCCCTGCAAAACCACACCAGGATTTGGGTAGAGTCATCCATGATCAAGTGGTCTGTCTGGTTACATGCAAAGGCAGAGGAGACAGGAGCAGTGCTGGCACCGGTGTTGCGGGTCTTCCTGACCATAGTAGCTTTCCCTCTTTCAAACTCTCTGTCTGCAGCCCCTATCTGCTTCACTCCCCTGGTCATTCTGCCTCTGGCTTTTAAAACCTCCTCACACCTAGGTTAGGCCTATCTCTTGTTAGCCACAGGGGAAGGCTGATCCATGGCAATCAAGGGAACGAAGGATTAAATACTCCCAGACAGACAATCCCAAGTGCCACAGTAACTGAAACTGAAATTACCTGAAATCAGAATCAAAATTCAAATTCAAACAGTCGAGCAAACTCACTCACACCAAAAGCTAGTACAGTTACTTGGCAGCCTGTTCAGTGGTGGGATCTCTTGCTCTCCCTCTTAAACTCCCCTGTATGCAGCCCCCTGTCTGCTTAACATGGTATATCCTCAGAATCTGAAGATCTTATATGTAAATACAGTCCTTGTGGTAGAGATCTACGTCTTGGAACTTGAAGACAGGGGCTGATGAGGCACCACATTACCCAGGGTCTGGCAGATCTGACCAATGAAGAGGTTGCTTGTCAACAAGGAATAAATTGACAACAGACTATTCTCCACTGTGCTATTGATAAAACTGGCTGTCTTGAGAATCGTGGAAGGAATCTCCCCACCATTTTTCCAGTATTCATCCTTATGGGACAGAGCATCAGCCTTCCCATTGCTTGTTCTCAAGTAACAGATAACTATGAAGTCAAATGAGCAAAGAAGATGGACCAGTGGACCTGCTATCTGACCATTCAGAGGTACTCCAGGTTCTTTGATCTGTAAGAGCCTGCATGAGAAACATGGCTCCCAAACAAGGGCACCATTGCGGGAGAGCAGTGGGGGCAGCAGCCGTGGGTACTGGGATGCTGCTTGCTTTTTCCCCCATTCCTCTGGCTATCAGGGAGTGAGGGGAAAGGACATGGCTTGTGTGCATGCCTCTTGCTCCTGGCTCGTGAGGGGAGGAACAGAGAAGTGATTCACAAAATCTGTATAGTTTTCCTTCACTCCCTGATAGTCAGGGGAATAGGAAGAAAAGCAAGCAGCATCCTGGTATGGATGGCTGCTATCCCTTTCCCCTCCCCACCCCCACCCCCGGATTTCCAAAAATTATGCCCTTGTTCCTACAGATGACCCTAGAATCATAGGTCTGGAATGGACCTCAAGAGGTCATATAAGTCAGTCCCCTCCACTCATGGCAGGACTCAGTATTATCTAGACCATGATGATGACATTCCTTGGGTGCTGCCTTGATGGCTAAGAACTCCTTGTCCCGTTTACTATAATCCTTTTCTGTGGGGGCTAATTTGAAGTGTGAAAGGCACAGTGGCGAAATCAACCCTTAGGATCTCTTTGCTGGGACAGTACTTCACCTAATGTGATACTAGATCAGTTGGCTTCCTCCTTAAATGGATTTGTGGGGTCCGCATAGCTCAGGATGGGTTTTACAATGAACTTCTACTGTAGTCAACTGGAGGACATTTGGACCAGGTAAACTAGACTCTTTTTCCTACAAGTGCAGTTAGAGAAGTAATTAGACTTGAAAACTCAATGAACTGCTTATTTAACTTAATGAAGTCTAAAAAATGATATACCCTTAAATAGTGGATGATGGTGTTTGTGACTGGGGGGACTGGAGACAACCAGGCTGGCGGGGCTCAGAAGAGGGTCCTTTTTCTGGATGAAATTCTTTCAAGCAGTTATCCATCTGTATGCTAAGATTAATCCAGAAGTCCAGGCCAGCCTGGGAGTTCATCCATTCTACCTCATCTTTGATGTTGCCACATAGCCAGAGACAAAAATGATAATGCTGCACAGCCTTCTTCCACTTGGCGTCTGCTACAAAGCAGCGGAACTTCAGGGCATACTTAGCAACAGTCCAGCATCCCTGCTGCAACACTTGAAGGGCAGCTCTGTGCTTATTATTCAGGTCACTGGGGCTTACAGCCAGGGTTGAATAATGATCTCAAGCTTGTCCATGCTTGTTTTCTCTAGGAGACGCGACCAGTCAGAAGGCTGATAATTCCATTCTGGATTGGTAAGTGGAGAACGTCTGCAGGTTTTGAAGAAAGAGGAATTATCACTGATTTAGAAACCGTCAACATGTATCATATGACTATTACATGTGTCAAGCAGGGGAATCTGGTTTGCTGGCACCACAAATCAGAGTTTGAGATGATGCAGCCAGTTCTTGTAATATTGCATTCCGCACTTCCAGGCAGCAGCCTAGACCAGTAGGGTCTGTAAGCCACCCATTGTCTTTAGCAGGACAATAGTGGGATGGGGGATGCTCTTTGCAGCGATAGTTACTCAAACTGACCAAAGCAGGATGCAGGCAGTTGTGAGTTTATGCATTAGTGGTAGGAATTGGAACTCATAGCCAGAATCAGAGGCCAAATGTCACAGCCAAGGGTCACAGCCAGATTCATGAACCAGGAGTTGGAGTCCATGGTCAAAACAAGAGTCAGAAGTCAGATGCCAGAAGTAAGGGTCAGAGACTAAATCAGAAGTCATGAATTAGAGCAAAGAGTCAGAGCCAAGTTACCTGGAGTGAGGCAAGGCAGGGCAAAGCCAATGGCACTGGAATTATTTTTAGGGTGAGATGATGACCTTCACCTGCCCCCCTCTAATCCCTGTTCCCTCACCACCACAAATTAGGGTCACCCTTAGGGTTGCCAACTCTCTTGCACTGAACTGTGTGTCCAGTCCAAGAGAGCTGGCAACCTAGATAGAGGTTGCTGTGGAGGTTGCTGTGGAGCTCCAAGCCAGTGGCAGGACCCTGAGGGCAGTGGAGCTTCCAGTGCCGGTAGCCTGGATCATAGTAGGCTGCAGAGCTCACAGGGACGGTGGGTGGCAGGACCCTGGGAGGGTGCTGAAGAGGGTGGGGCTGGCAGGGCCTTAGAGAGGCTGCCTGGGATTCAGGGCTGGTGGAGCCAGAACTGGCAAGGCTGGCCCCTGGGCACAGGGAAGCCAGTTGCAAAACCTTGCCCATAGGCATGGGAAGTAAGAATGTCGAGGGGTGCTGCATCCCCACCTCCCGCACCCTTCATTTCTGTGTCTATGGGCAAGGCTAGGTGCCAGAGAGAGCCCATGCTGGAGCAAAGTAGAACAATGCAAAAGTGGGGCTTGGAACAGGATGAGCACAGGAAGAAGCATGGCTACAGACATGTGCTCTGTAGCCAGAACATTGCTGATGCTGCTGAATTCAAGAGCAAGCTTGCCAGCTTCCTCAGCCAATCAGGCAGGAAGATCTTTCAGGCTAATTAGGTTGTCAGAAAACTGAACAGGCATATCTGCATGGCTTTATTGTTGACAGTGCCCTGCAAACACAGCAAAAGGACTGCTTCTTCCTGTAAGACTTCACTTTACATGGGTTTGTACTCATATACGTAAAATAGCAATGGTTTATGTCAAATTGTAAAGGTAGCTGTGCGCTGCTTTTCTGCAATGTTTCTAAAAATAGTTATACAAATGGGTGAGCTATATTACTAGTGCTTGCTCTAAAGATTATATTTTATGTCAACATTACAGGATTGAAATCTGCATATCTGTTGCACCGGAGAAGTAGAGATGGTCAGTTAAGACTGTTGATTGGTTCAGGATAAGGATGAGATTTGTGGGCTGTGGGTTATACTTAGGTGGAAAAGCTTTGCTGAATGACTTAGTTGCTGTTTCCTCATTTGCCATGGTGAGGGTTTGTGTGGATGCACTCTAGAAACTTTAACTTAAAATTTAATGCAGTTTTATATATGCACACACACATACACAGTGACACAGCAAAAATTCCAAGTCTAGCTTCAGTTTTTTTTAGAGTGGGAATTGTCCCAGTTTTTAATACCCATGTTGATTGTTATTTATATGGCAAGTCATCAATGATATTTATTATCTCTTGTGCGATTGTGGATCTTTTTTGTCACAATAAGGCAAATGAACAAAACTAACAGTAATTAATACATTAAGTAATTCTTTGTTGTAACACAGCAGGAGAAAACATTATCAATTGTATTAAAAAATAGTCCCAATTTTGGAAAAAAGCTAAATACAATTGAGCTGACCCGCCCTCCCCTACCCCCATGTAAAGAGTTGTATGACCTCAGAATCAGGTCTCTTTAGTTCAACTTATTTTAGAGGAGAATTTCCTCTTAAATGCTGATGGGACAATATTTTTTCACGTCACACTTTCAACGAGTTAAGTAAAATCCTGCATACATTTGAGCACTTGATTAACTTTACTCATTTGAATATTTCTATTGATTTAAATAAGACTATTACATGAGTAAAGCCATACACATAGATAAGTGTTTGCTGGTTCTAATTCTTAGAATGGGAGAGAATAGGTAGTACCTGTAATGAGATGGAGTCAAAATATCTATGAAAGAGATTAATATAAATAGATACAATGTGACATAGAGCATATTATTTTTAAGAGTCCCTCATGCTATTGTAAAGAAGATAGCTAGAAACCGAATCAGCACACTATATGTAAATTGCAAATGCTCTTCTCAGAAAACCATAACCATAGATCCATTTCAATCTGGTTTCAGGCCTGGTTTTGCACTGGTAGATGACCTACACTGGGAGATAGATAGGGAAAGTGTGTCCCTGTTGATTCTCTTGGACCTCTTGGTATCCTTCTGAAGCATCTGGAGTTAGTTATCGGAGGCACAGTTTTGTGGTGGCTCTGGTCTTACCTGTTGGAATGCTTTCAGAAGGTGGAGCTAGGGGGCAGTGCTGCTTAACCCCACGGTGACTGTGCTATGGAGTCCCGCAAGGTTCCTGATCTGAACCAGTGACTGATCTGAACCAGTGGCTGGAGGCTGTGATGGACTGGATGAGGTCAGATAACCTGAATCCAGTTAAGACCAAGGTCCTGTGGGTCAGGAAGCCATCTATCCGGGAATGTGATGTGTTACCTGTTCTGGACGGGGTCACACTTCCCTTGAAAGAACAGACACACAGCTTAGGAATCCTCCTGGACCCTTTTCTAACATTTGAGAACCAGATTTCCTCAGTGACCAAGAGCGCTTTCTGGCAGCTTTGGCTGATCCGCCAGCTACAACTCTTCCTAAATAAGAATGAGCTGGCTATGGTGATTTATGCTTTTGTCACATCCCGACTGGACTACTGCAATGTGCTCTTTGTAGGGATGCCTCTGAACAGTCTTCAGAAAATTCAGCTGTTCCAGAATGTGGCTGCTACAGTTTTAACTAACACTAATTATACGGAGAACATTGTGCCATTGCTCCACCAGCCACACTGGCTTCTGGTATGTTTCTGGGCACAATTCAAGGTCTTCGTTATGACCTAGAAAGCCCTAAACAGGTAGGACTAGGGTATTTCAAGGACCATCTCCTCCCAAATGAATCTGCCTGGGTATTGAGGTCCGTTTGGGAGGCTCTGCTCCGTGTTCTTCCACTTATGGAGATAAAGCTGACATCTACAAGGAACAGGGCCTTCTCAGCCTTTGCCCCCAGGCTATGGAATTCTCCCTTCCAGGAAATTCACCTGGTGCCAATGCTGGTCATTGTTTTGGCATCAGGCTAAAGCCATCCTTTTTACCTGTGCTTTTATTGGTGTTTGAGTTGTGTATGTGTGTGTATTTGTGTGTGTATGCTGCTCCTCTCAAAGCATTTTAGCAGGTTTTATGCCCATCCCCCTTGGGGTCTTGTATTTTCCTTTTATATATATATATATCTATGCGGAGCAGGGCCTGCACAGCTTTTGCTCCCAGGCGATGGAGCTCCCTCCCCAGGACAGTCGCCTGGCACCGACACTGGCATTGTTTCAGCACCAGGCTAAATTCACCCTTTGTACCCGGGGTTTTGTTGATGCTGGAGTTTGTGTGTGTGCGCCCCTCCTCTCAGTATGTCTTAGTAGGTTTTATTGTGTTTGAAAATTTTGTAAGCCACTTCAAATATTTTAAATAGAGAGGTGGGATAAAAATGTTTAGATATATACCAGCAGCTTGTAATTTAAGAGGTAACTATATCAGCATGAACATTAGCAAATTCACTGGTAAATGTAAGGTCCTTTGCAGAATTAATAAATGTTTCCATGAGA